GATCTCTACCACTCCGATTTTGGAATGGCAATCACAGTGATCGTCTGTTGGGATTGCAGACATCACCGGCTGGATGGCATACCTGTTTCAGACTTCGGGAAAGCAATATCTGTTCGTATTAGGAAATGATGAAATCGCTACCGTTGATTTAAAAAGAACACCTCTTTATTCACGAAGGGCTTGTCATTTCTTTTAGTATATATACTGTCACTCTTTTTAAAAGGGCGACGGCCTTGAGATGTCATCTTCAAAACTGAGCAGTCCCAGGAAAATTCAGAGTTATTGCCCCAGGTATGTTCAGAGTTATATACTCGTCTGAGTTGATTGGAATCGAAGTGATGAGTGTATCAACTGAGCTAGGCCCGGCGGTGGTATATATGTACTCTTAACTCGTTCAAATGCTCAGATATACAGTAAGTATTACGGTCACATATTTTACCCCTTTGGTGGGCATTTAACTTTTCTTTACGTTCCTGGTCGCAATTTCGGCGTTTTTTGAACCGAAATCGTCAGGGCTTACCGGGTTCCCACCTGTAAGACCTGACGATTTCGGTTATAAAAACGCCGAAATTGCGGCCAGGTACGTCACAATTAAATGCCCAAAGGTCCCACCTGTAAGACCTGACGATTTCGTTTAAAAAAACGCCGAAATTGCGGTACGTCAAAGTCAAATGCCCAAGGAGTTTTTTTGTACTGTTTGTCTGTTTGTAATTACTATTACTTCTTGTTTGTGAAATAGTGAGAACGCGCAAAGAAATCGAATACGGTCAAAGTCATATAAGTCATAAAAAATGGACGATGACATGGTTTTGTGCTAACAGTGTGTGCAGAGCTGTGGCCCACTTCTCCTCGTCATTGTGATTGTAAATATTCACTACAGAGTTCACACACCTATGACACGCCACAGTATTGTGCCTCCGGCAGCCAGGGATGATGTGTGATGAGCATGTGTTGTATGTTCTCCTGTGGTCGGTTTTCGGGCCTCGCTGCTCCACTCAGCAAATGTGAAAAGGACAAACTATGGCGGGTGTATCTTCGCACGAACTTCCGGTATGACTAGGGGTGTTTTGGCATCCCTAGGTAGACTGGCATTTTTAGGGGAAACCTATACGACAATAAGCTTTTGGGTTTAGGATGGCTTTCCCCCCCCCCCCTCCTTCCCTTTATTTTGAAAGGGAGCAGCTCCTGGGTGGGATGACATTTTTGGACAGAACCTATGTGGAAAACTTCTTGGGCTTCTGGTCTTTCGTATGACTACCGCAGTGCTCAGAATATGTAGCTATTCAGCTGCACCACTGTTGTTTGTCTGTTACTCCGCTATGCGAAATACTGTTGTTTGTCTGTTGTGTGCAGTGATTTTCAACTATCCCTTCTCCCTCGTCGGCAGTGTCATCCTCATCCCGCTTTTTCCTTGATGACTCTCAATCATATCATGTTACGTAGCTTCCGCTCGACCTCCTGTCTCTGTTCCTCTCAAAAGACTCTTTGCAGGTCTGCTGCTGTGCTCTGTCCCCTCTGTGCAGTGTTTCTCAACTCTCCTTTCTTCTTTGTTGTCGTTGCTGTCCTCCTCCTCCTCGTTCCTCGATGACCCTACTTTCCTTTATTCTTCTTCGTTGTAGCTTCTGCTCAACCTTGCTACCGTGCTGTGTTTCCCTCTGAATGATTACCAACTCTCCTTCGCTTGTTGTCGTTCTCTTCCTCCCCTGCGCCGTCCTCCTGTTCCTCCCCCGGCCTTCGTCTTTTACTTGAGAACTCTCAATCATCATATGTTACTTAGCTTCTGACCAATCTCTTGCGTGTCGACCTAGCTTCCGATCAATCTCTTGCGTGTCTGCAATATAACTGCAAAGTTGACATCGATCTTTTCATACAGAAATTCGGAACATGTTTTTTGGGTATGGTATAAGTTAGTTGCTATTGCTTGCTTGCTTGTACCTTTCCAACCGTTAGTCTCACCCGACCGTTAGTTTGAAACACGTTTTTGGGTATGGTATAAGTTAGTGGCACACCTTTCCAACCGTTAGTCTCAACCGACGAAGCGCAGACGGATTCGATCTGTTAATCTTTGAACGAAGAAAGTAGAAAGACGATTAGCATGAATGACCCCTGTGCAACGATAGAACACACACACACACACACACACACACACACACACACACACACACACACACACACACATATCGAGAAACGGTTTAATATTTTCAAAACAGGGGGTATGCTTCGCTGTTGACGAACAGTTAGCATGATGGTGACAAATACTCAGCGAGGTTCGATTTCACTGAGCATTTCTGACACAGTCCGTACGGAGACGATTTATAAAAAAGTAGAACTGCGGGACGGATAGGTCGTACAGCGGGTGGTATGAGCCAGCGCATTGTAGTAGCTCCGCTCAGTATTTGCGGGCTCCATTCTATAGGTGGGGGTGCTATTGAAAGGACGATTCTGTTTGATTTTCTTTTTGCTTAAGTGCAAAGTTTCTTGGTTAAGACTACTTCAGGTGGTGGAAGATAATGATTGTATTCAAATTCAATTGTTTTTTTTTGGGGGGGGGGGGGGGGGGGGGGCGGGGCGGGTAATCTAATGGATACATGATTGGTCGTGCAGGTCGCAGGACTGCCAGGTGTCACGAGTGCATGGTTCGAGAAGCGGAGGGAATCAGTTGACGCTGAGAGGAATAAGAATGCAGAGCGAATGGTCTATGTATGCCAACTCTGTGGCAAGCAGTACTCCTCAAAACAAGCACATGAGCAACACCTAAACTCCAAGGCGCACTTAGTGAAGTTGTCGGCTTCTCCGTCGTCTGTGGAGGGACGGGTAATCTCTGTCGTTCGACCTGCCCCTTCACGAGATTCCTCAGTGCAACAAGCGGGCGCCAGCAGATCTGAGCCTTCATCGGCTCGATCTGGCCCTGTAGGTGGGGAGAGGTTGGGCGACGGCAAAGGTGAAAAAGAGAGTGAGGTGGACGATGAAGACTCAGACGAGGAAGGAGAATGGACTGTGGTTGAAAATGAATTGGAGGCGGCAGAGGCACTCGCTCAGATGAGTATACACGGAGAAGATGACGGTGGGGGTGGGGGGAGTCGTAGCCGCGCGGTTGCGTCTCCCAGTAGCAAACGACAAGAGGATGATGCTAATGGGACTGAAGAAGCAGAAGCAGGACGGACTGAAGATGATGAGGAGTGGGATCCCTGCAATTGTATGTTCTGCAGGAAAGCTCACGAAGGCGTTGACGAATGCGTGGAACACATGCACAGAGAACATGGATTCTTTATCCCAGATGCAGAGTACTTGAAGGACTTGACTGGGCTGTTGGAGTACCTCTGGCTCAAGGTCAGTGCATGCTTAGCTAGCCTTTCTTTGGTAGCTACTAGCTGTATAGCTTTTTCCACTCGATCTCCTCTTCTTTTTTTGTTTTCCTTGGGTCTACTTTTGTCTTCTCCTCTCCTTGTCTATTCTTTGCTCTTCGTTTCTACTGTTTTGCCTTTTTCTCTGATTACCTCTTCTCTTTTCTTTTCTTCCTCTCTTTTGGTGTCTTCACGCACTGGCCCCTCCCCTCACTCCTCCTTTTGCTGCTCTCTTTGGTGTCTTCCCTCGCTGCCCCCTTTACTCGCTCTTTTTTTGGGTGCTCCTTTCTCTTCTCTCTGTTGTCTGTTTTGTCTGCTTTTCTCCTCTTTCTCCCTTTTTCTTTAATAGTTTTATTCTTTTGTTTTCTTTTCTCCTCTTCACTTTCTCTCTCCTCTGTGCCTCGTCAGACTCGCTCACGCTCTTCTTTTGCCCTTTGTTCTGTGTGTCTCTTGATCTTCTCATCCTCTCCTCTTTTTCTCTTCCTGTGATCTTAGTTCAGTTCATGATGGTATGCCCAAGTATAAACATGAAGCACGATTGTTTAAAACAAACAAACAAACAAAAAACCATGGAGCACGAAGCACGAAGCAAGGGGCGCGAGAATATCAGAGAAAACAAGAGGAAGACTGGTAAAGATGAATAATACGGACAAGAATGCCCTTAACCCACCAGTGCATGTGGCCCTCCCTTAAAACTTGCAGCCGTATACGCACGGCGAAGGAGGGTACAGGGGGGGTGTGCAAAATTCCAAGTGCGCCAACTTTGACGATTTTTAATTCTGATTTGTGGCAATGAAAAATTATGGGGAAAACAAAGGCTCGCGTGTACTGGTTGGTTTCATCTCGCCAAATCACCTCCTCATCCTCATTCTCTGTCTCTTTCTCTTTTTTCCTTTTTTTTTTCTTTCTGTTTGTCTGTCTTCGTAACAAACAAAACGTGGGTCAACAGAAATGAAACTCGGAAGTAAGATAGATCTCCACAGCAATCGCTGCTGTGGAGAGAACTCTCATACACCCCCTCTCTCTCCAATCTCTCTCGCCTGTCTCGCATCACATCATCTGCCGTCTGGCAAGACCTCATCCTTGCCACAGCTGATGTACAGACAACAACATGAGAGACCTCAGACCCGTACAAGACCGAAAACACAGTCCATGCTTCCAGATTGTCTCAGCAGAGCATTGACAAAACGAGGGTGGGTGGGGTTTCGTGAGGTACAGGACTGGAGAGCAAAAAAGGAAAAAGAAAAAGAAGGGGGGCGGGGGAGGGAATGGAAGACCAAAAAAAGGGGGGACTTTGATGTGCGTCATGCTTCCGGATGGTCTCAACGCGGTCCAGCCCCCAAGGGGCTTCTTTGATCCAGATCCATTACCAGACTGAAAAAACTTGCGGTCATCATAACTGCCAGTAAGTCTTCACCTTGGATTGCCTTCTCTATGCCCTTCGTCTTTTTCTTATTCAAGCCCACGGGCTCGGAATATGAGGAAGTGGATGATACCCATCCTTCCCCTACATCTCCATGGCCCTGGAGGTATTCTACTCCTTTCTTTTTTGGGGCCCAGGGTCTCTATTTAATGCTTTGTTTAACAGAAAGGCGGGCTCTACTCCAAATTACCTTGGTGATAGAGAATTGCATCGGTCGTTCCCCTTTCTTTTATTCCCCCGAGGTGCTCCCTTCAACCGACCTTGTCTTGGGCCTTCCCGGCACCCCCCAGGGTCCTACTGGACTGAATTTTTCGCAGGAACTCTGCTATTCAGTCTGCAGGTTTCCCAAGATTCTGGACGAACCTACCCCACATACTGGCTTGGTTCACGGCTTGTGCCCGGGTCCGTTGTTTGTCTAGACCTACCGGATTGGAAAATGCGTGACAAATTGGACCTTGAAGTGCATACTCGCACTTCCGTCTTCCCCCGAACATAACACATGAGATGTAAATGAATACAATGCATAGGTTGCTTTCTATTCGAATACAATGCATGTGCGTCCTATTCAAACAGCCCTGATTTTAGAGTACAATGCGTATGCGTTCTTTTTGAATTTGTTCAATTTTTCAAAAACTCGAATACAGCGCACGTGTTATGTTTGGGGGAAGACGGTACGGTTTTACTGGATGACAGTGGATGTATGTTTGCTGGCTAGATTCAGCTGAAAATGCCGAACTGGGAATATCCGCTAACCAGTCCATAATCGATATGCCATGCATCATGATGTGCGTGGATAGGCCCATAATAGCTGTGAGGTACGCGGAAAAAGGAAAGCTGACGTATCTTCTTTCTGCATGCCGCATTTCTCCTCTCCGTCCAGTGCGGCTGCTCTTCCACTTGTAAGTCAGGTGTGGCAACATCATGCACTTTATTTGTCATTATCGGCACAGACTGAGAGCTCTGCAACCAGTGGAAAACCAATGCATGGATTAATGTTGTGAGAGATGTATTGTAGATGCATCCTCAGTGTGTGAGCGTATTTGATATTCATTCACTTGTTCTTCTGCTCTCTCTCTCTCTCTCACACACACACACACACACTTACATGGAAGAATGGGGTAGCTTCTAAGGTGTTTTAAGCAGTAGTGCTCCTGGTGTCGCGTGAGATCTTGCGGAATTTGGCATAGTACTTGCAGTGGCCTCGCTGTAGCGCTAGGACATCATCTGATTCTGCAGGTTGCGCGGCAGGGGGAGATTCATGGCACTCTTGGTGTTGCTTGCAGCTCCTGCGGTGTATTTTTGATTTGTGGTGGCGTTGTAGGCCGTCGCAGAGGGCTCTAAAACTTTTTTAGACCGTTGGCATGTGCGGTCGGTGCTTTTTTGTTAGTGGAGCCTTTTTGTGTTATGTTGGTTAGTGGTTTTGTGGGCCAACGTGGAGGGCTCTCCAAGCCTTTTCGGACCTATGGATGATGTCTTGCTGGTGGAGTCTGCCTTAGGTAAGTTGCTTCTTGCCCTCCACCCTTTTATGGATCAAATAAATATATGTATATATCGTCAAACAGAGCTGCCCGGTAAAGCGTAGGCAGAGAGGGAGAAGAGGACAAAAAACAATGTGCAAGTGTGCCACTTCGGCGGCAGACGGGTGTGTGGGCACTTGGCGCTGAACCACACAAACGTGGCCAACCTTGCATTTTCTATTATATTGTCTATCTATACTTTTTTGTTAGGGATGGTTTGTTATGATTTGTGGAGGAAATGAGAGAGAGAATTTGGGGATGGTTTGTTATGATTTGTGGAGGAAATGAGAGAGAGAATTTGGGGTGCTTTAACAACACACACACACACACACACACACACACACACACACANCACACACACACACACACACACACACACACACACACACACACACACACACACACACACACACATGAAGTCCTTGGTTTTACGGAAGTTGCTTCTTGCCCTCCACCCTTCTATGGATTAAATAAATATATGCGTGTATGTATATGTGCAAGTGTGCCGCTTCGGCGGCAGACGGGTGTTTGGGCACTTGGCGCTGAACCACACAAACGTGGCCAACGTTGCATTTTCTATTATATTAGCTATGTATATGTTTTGTTGTGGATGGATGTTTTGTCTGATTTGTGCAGGAAATGAGAGAGAGAATTTGTGGTGCTTTAACAACACACACACACACACACACACACACACACACACACACACACACACACACACACACACACACACACACACACAGAGTCAAATGCATCCTGGGCAGACTGTCGCGGTTCAACCTCCTGTGAGTCGGTGAAAGTCCGACGAAACAGTCTGGTACCGTCATGCGTTTTTTGAGTTACACAAGCTCTCTGTGGACGTGCGTGGACACAAGCTGCACTTGTGTATAGTGTCCAGATTACACCATGGAGTTACAAACACTGATTCACACATTCCTCTTGTCAAGCCGAAGAACAGTATCAGGTTTGTCGAACTCGAACTAGCAGTTCTGTTGGACGAAACATAGCCTCCCTGGCTCGAAGCAGCTCTCTGATTATAGTTGTGCGGCGATATATATAGAACTGCTAGAACAATGCTGTGGTCAATAGACCACATTCAAGACCCGCCCAGTAGCAGCCGTCAGAACAAAGGCCAACCAATGCCGAACCACAATCTGCAATGGTGCACTAATTATGTGGACCTCATCTTTATTTCTTTTCCCTAAGTTCACTCGGCCTAATTTGCTGGATTGATCGATGCTGAGGCTTTCTTTTACGCTCCCCAAGTGACTGAGCCTGAGTGTATTCTACCTCTTGTAGCATATATGGCCCTCTGCGTACTTCTCAAAGGAGGTTTAACCAAGTCAGCTGTTCGCGGCAAAAATCGCAAGAATTGGGAAATTTTTTTACTCCCGTAGGTCAGACCTCCCGTACTGCCGGCCTCCCGTAGGCCAGACCTATGTGCAGCATGGGGTGAACAGGCAGGTCTGCGGAGGTAGCTGGACATGGTACTGGTGGTTTTAAGGTGGCTGGCGGCGTGCTTTCTTACCATAAATATAGGGCCAGTTGGTTCTTGTTTCATTGGGAGAGCACATCTCCAATAGCCCGTCTGTACTCCGCTGGGTTACACTGCTTTCATAGGGGTGTGTATCCGACAGTGCGGGCACATGGATATCAGGTCCTGAAGTGCCCAGAGGTTGTCTGAGCGCTATGATGCGGGCAGCTCGTGCTCAATTTCATCAACGTGGCGAGCCTTGTACGTGAGAGGCACTGGCACCATCCTGTAGGAGTGTCCTTTCAGGCTGGACAGGCCAGGGCAGGTTGGTCTTTTTTCCTTTTTTCGGTTCGACAGAATAGGTTGCTTGCCAATGGTTGGGACTGGTGGATTAAATAAGAACATTGCAGTGTGTCAAATCAATTTTCTGCCTTCCTGCCTGCAAAATTGCAACGCATGATGGTAGGCGAATGCTTGTGCAGAGCTTGCCTGTCACAGCAGCTGAACAGTCAAAAGTTGATCCGTGCACTCGTCCAGAAATTGGGAATAGAGATGTCAGAGGGCAATTGGGGTAAGTTCCATGCTGAGATTGAGAGCATTGATTTGAGTCATTTGATGCACTGCAATTCTCTGCCTTCCTTCCATGCTGAGAGATTAATGGTATTGATTTGACACACTGCAAATCATGTGTTCTCGGATATCAATGAATGACAAGAGTCAGGCAAAAAGACTCCCCAGCACCTGCAGACTACACCCAGGCTGAGATTGAGAGAAAAGTCAATTGGGTGTGTGAAAGGACTGGGTGCGGTCTGCAGGTGCTGGGGAGTCCTTCTGCCTAACTCTTGTCATTCATTGGTATCTGAGAACACATGATTTGTGTCTTTTGCAAGGAAATGAGCAAATTCGAACAGCAATAAACCAGATCAAGACATCTCACAGAAGACCAGACATCATTGAGCCGAAATTGAAAGTAGAAATCAAAGCGGGATGCACACTAAATAATAACGAGCGAAAACACCGAAGTCTAGTGATAAACAAAGCCCTTCCAACCCCTCCAGTCATCAATGCAATGACAAATGTAGCTCTCCCATAGGCGTCCTGGACGCCGATGCTACTTCCTATCAGTCCTATCGATCTAGCCTATCTATGCCAGGAACAGGTCCTAATGCTGCTTGACGATTCTGATCAAACAGCCTGCCTTTGCCAACACCAGGTACGTGCCTCTTTCATATCACCTCTCTCCGTTGTCCTCCACACCTTGTTCCACCAAGGACCTCTGCCAATTCCACCGTCCGGCTATGGAGTGCTCAGCCAGGCTATGGCTGGCACTTTCGCTTCTTCTTCCTGGCTGCCAGTGCAGCTTCCACGGGCACAGTGCTCAGCTATCGCTCATGCAGTGCTGCCGCATTGGCACGATGCTCGAATGTCTGAGTCTGGGAGGTCTCCGGTCCTTTGTGCTGGATGGAGCGGCTGAGGAGGCTGCACCCAGGCTGTGCCCTGTCCCTGTCCGCCTGCGCGTGGGCCCTTCCAGAATGTGCAAGTTGGCCCATCACCTGTAACTAACTCTTAGGCTGGGCCTACCGGGGCCCCAGCCATTCGCGTGCGGCAACCACCCGGGGCCCAACCCATTCGCGGGCCTCGCTGCATTTTGGCAGCCCCGTCTGCGCCTGGGGGGGGTGGACAGGGCGTCTTTCTGGCTTACCGGAGGTCCTGAATCCTCACACTTTTGGCATTTCCGGACGGTTTCATCACTCATTGGTGTCGCTCTGTCTGTTTTTCATGTTGCTGCAGATCACCAAAGGTTTCTTGTGCTTATACTGTGACGGTAGGGGAAGGTTGCTCCACAGTAAAGAGGCTGCGCGGAATCATATGATCTCAAAAAGTCACTGCAAGCTGAGGTTTGGTGAACTGGAGGATGGAGATGAGGAGCTGGAGGAGTTTTACGATTATACATCGAGGTCGACTTCTTCCCTCACCCACCCTCCTACCTTCCCACGTACACTTCCACGTGCCTTCCCACCCTCCTCTTCATCGTACATACGTCTCCTTACCTTTCCTCGTGTGTGTCCTCCTTCCTATCCTTTTCCATCTTCCCTCCTACATCTACTTCCACTCTTTCTATTGCCATTCACTCTCTCTCTCTTCTCTCTCCTTCCTCCTCACATTTCCCCCTGCCTTACTGCGGCATTACCACTTGTCTCTTTATCTCCATTCACGTATTGCGTTTTCCCTGCCTCCCTTTTGTGTGCCATCTCCTTCAAGTGTCACCCTGTTTCTGCACTTCACCTCACTGTTCCATTTGCTGCCTTAGATCTTCCCAAAGGCCGACTTGCCGTGGCACATTTTTCGTTTCCGAACTTTGTAGTATATTGTCTTGCATTTCATCCTTTTTTTTTTTTTTTTTTGCGTGTCATCCTTGCGCAGGGGCCATGCTAATCTTCTCTTTATCATTCCAATTTTAACGGATGCCCCGAAGGACGTCTTGCATTTCATCCTGCTGTTGCAAGAGTTTGGCTTTTTGCATTTTCCGCCTTTCCCCAACTTCTCTTTACCAGGTTGAATGTTGGAATTCACCATCTTTACTTGACTGCTTTTTTACTGCATCTTGCCTTTATTGCCTCACCGGGCCCACCCTGACTTTAGCTGCTTCAGCAGGACCTGACGATCACCTGCACTCTGCTGGAAAATGTTTGTTTGCTGACTAGCGGGTCCGGAATTATTCTGGTTGTCTCCTCAGAACTGACCAAAGCGTTCGTTTATGTCTGTCTGCACCTGTGGCTGCAGTTATGAAGAAAGTGGCGAGTTGGGACAAATGATACTTGCAGGGGATGCAGTTCAGGCTCCTGTTGAATTATTGAGTGGTGGTATGGAGCTAGGGTTGAAGGGAAATTCAAAAATAATTGGCAGCAGACAGTTGGTGCGGATTTATCGTCAGCGGCCAAGGCCTTCTGAAAACCGCGAGATGATTCTTGTGAATAAGCTGGTTGCCAGGTGTGTAAACTCCCCCTTTTCCTGTTTTGTGAGCCAGAGGGTAAAACTGTACTAAAACATATTTGGCACGGTCCCCTCGTGATGCTGTGGAAAGCTTTTTTTTTTTTTTGTGTGTGTGTGCGTGCGTGTGTGCATGTGTTGTAGACTGTCACCAGAAAGATCCCTTTTCCACCCTGATGAGTAGACCCAAATTTTGTTTGTTTGTCTGTTTTTTTTTTTTTTTTTTTTTTTTTTTTGTGTGTGTGTATGTGTGTGTGTGTGTCCACATGCATGCTCCCTCTGCCCGCCTGATGGAAAGAGTCTCAGAAGTAAAAATATGGGGATGTCCGACATTTGATGTGCAATCCTTACGTTGTTCCTGGATTCCATGCATTCTTTTTTCAAGAATCCTACTTTCGTGAAGACGTTAGGTTTGTCAACCTTCATGCTGTGGAATAGTTGTTGTTGTTGTTGTTGTTGTTTTGATGCGGTCCTAACTGAAGGACAATGGCCTCGATGCCCTCACAAAGTCCCATCCCTGTGGAGCCCGCCTAAATGGTGTCTGTTACATATGTGCCGCTTATGTGGTTGCCCACTCTCCGTCTGTCTTGTCCGCCCCGGTTCTCTTTCCGTCTTTTCTTCCAACCTTATCTATCCCTTTGTCCTCGTCCACCCTCTTTTCCTCTCTTCTCTTTAGTGTAGCCTTTCTTCTGCTTCGGTTTGGTTTTCCTTTCTTTATCCCTCTCCTCGCTCTTCCTCTTGTGTTTTTCACCTTTATCTTAGTCTGTCTTCTTCTCCCATTTGGTTGTCCTTTCACTATCCCTTTCCCCTCTCTTCCTCTTTTCTGTTCCGCCTCTTTCCCCTCTTCTCGTCCACGTCTCTGCTGTCTTCTCTTCTCACCTGTTTCCCCTCTCCCTTCTCTTCTGTGTTCTCTTCTCTTGTCCTCTTCTGTTCTTTCCTGCCATTTCGTCTTCTCTCCTTTCCACTCCTCTCCTCTCCTTTCTGGTGGGAACACATTTGATTGGTATAGGAAAACGTTCTCAAATGTTTGCAAACCAGTGCTGAACTTCCGGTACGACCGGGGGTCCTCCTCCAACCGGAACCGGGCCGGTCGACCGGTCCGGTTCGCCCCTGGTCCGCACCAGCGCGTTTTCACTGGGGGAGGGGGGGG